CTGTTGTTCTGATGTAATTTTTTTTTTTTTTTTTCTGTTTTAAGCCTCTGTGTTTGGGGATAATCTGTCATATAGCAGTAGATAACTAATACAGGAAGTGAACAGGAAAAGGAGGAAAACATGTAATAGAATCTGATGTAACTCTTATACGCACATAATTCTTACATTATATGCACCGTACATTATATGTTAATCTTCAGTATAAAAATGCTGCCAGGAGCTCACAGTGTAGTGAGCTCACGTTTCTGGGATGAGTGAAGTGAGATAAAGCTGGACTGCAGGTGGCCAGTGCCTTACTGGGATCCATGTGTGTCCAAAGAGGGAACCGGCATTCTGCCTTCATTAGCTACTCAGGTTCCTGCGGCAGGTAGCACAGCTGCCGGGCATCATAAGCATCCATTCCGTGTTGGGGGCACCCTCTGGAGACATCTCTCATGTCTATGGTGTGAAGGCTGCCCCCTAGAGTTGTGCCTCACGGCGCCCTGGATCTTGGGTTTAGAAAATGCTTAGAGGTTGTCGTCTTGTTCCAGCTGTTCACTGTCAGCTGGGAGCCTGCCTTGTGCATCTTCATAGGTCCTGGCACGAGTTCACGCAACAGAGCAGTTCTCCAAGAAATGAGGGTTGAATGGAGCCATATTTAATCATCAACCCCTAACATGAGCCCTGCGAAGACCTTCACTGCAGGTGGTCTGACCCAATGGTTCTCAACTATGGCTGGGGAGTCATTAAGATGACTCATGTGCCTTTTATTTTTATATTGAGTTATATGAGCTGTTTATGTATTTTGGATATTAACCCCTTATTGGTCATATCATTTGCAGATGTGATATCTATCTATATCTATCTATCTATCTATCTATCTATCATCTACAATGGAATATGACTCAGCCATAAAAAGAGAATGAAATCTTGCCATTTGCAGCAACATGGATGGACCTAGAGAATATTATGCTTAGTGAAATATGTCAGAGAAAGACAAATACTGTATGTTGCCACTTATATGTGGAATCTAAAAACTACAACAAACGAATATAACAAAACAGAAACAGACTTAGAGATAGAGAGAACAAACTAGTGGTTACCAGTGGGAAGAGGGAAATGGGGAGGGGCAAGATAGGGGTAGGGGAGTAAGAGGCACAAACTACTGCATATAAAATAAATAAGCTATGAGGACATACTGTACAGCACAGGGAATATAGCCTGTATTTTATAATAACCTTATAAAGTATAATCTATAAAAATATAAGAGAAAAACAAATACTGTATGCTAACACATATATATGGAAACTAAAAAAAAAATGGTTCTGAAGAACCTAGGGGCAGGACAGGAATAAAGATGCAGACGTAGAGAATGGACTTGAGGATACGGGGAGGGGGAAGGGTAAGCTGGGACGAAGTGAGAGAGTGGCATGGACACATATACACTACCAAACGTAAATAGATAGCTAGTGGGAAGCAGCCGCATAGCACAGGGAGATCAGCTCGGTGCTTTGTGACCACCTAGAGGGGTGGGATAGGGAGGGTGGGAGGGAGACGCAAGAGGGAGGGGATATGGGGATATATGTATACGTATAGCTGATTCACTTCGTTATACAGCAGAAACTAACACAACATTGTCAGCAATTATGCTCCAATAAAGATGTTAAAAAAAAGAAAAAAAATATTGAATCACTATGTTGTACATCTGAAACTGGTATAATATTATAAATTAGCTATACTTCAATTTTAAAAAGATGCGTGTGTCTGAGCCCTTCACAGGTGTGTGGTATCAGCAACTGGGTGGTGAGGGCTGGCATGTGTGGGGTCCTGATATAGGGTGGTCACGGGAGGTCAGAACCTCCTGAGGGCCAGCTCCCCACTGATGGCTCTCACAGCCTATTTGCTGGTTCTGTTCTGAGGTGCTGACTCTGGTACAGAGAATAAATCCAGGCTGTAGGGCTTCTGTTGGGGCAGGTTGTGATGCTAGGAGTTGCTGATGAGGGGCGCAGGGCCTCTGCTCTGGAGAAGGGATGGGTGGGATGTGTCTGTAATGCTCTCTTCAAGTGGTAGTGTGGCAGAGCTGGGATTTGAACGCAGGCCGGCAGGCTCCATAGTCCACGCTTTGCCTCTATCTGAAGATACAGTTTATATCAAGGCTAGAAAAGAACCTTGTCCTCCCTTGTCCTAGGACAACTTGTGACATTGACACAGTTTGCTGTGGAGTCCCCGTCCTCTCCCCCTGGGCTGTCCCTTTCCTTTTGTGATGGTCCAGATACCCAGAACCCTTCACTTCTCCATGTTTCTGCCCTTGGCTCCAGTATGGCTGGTGTGGTTCAAGGTACTCTGATTACATCCTCTTATCAGATCTTCCTGGTAGCTCATGACGGTGACCCTCCTCTCTCAATTTACAGATGGGAGATAGTGCTTTTGGTTTTTCGGGTTTGTTTTTTTTACCTTTTTATTTTATATTGGAGTAGAGCCGATTAATAATCTTGTGATAGCTTCAGGTGCACAGCAAGGTGACTCAGCCATACATAGACACGTATCCATTCTCCCCCAGACCCCCCTCCCACCCAGGCTGCCACATAACGTTGAGCAGAGCTCCCCGTGCTCTACAGTAGTGCTTTCTGGATCACACAACACGGCCTCCCTTCCTCAAGGGCCCTGTTTTCTGGCAGGGGGCTCGGGGTGGGGGGGAGAATATCCCAGGTCAGAGAGCAGTGTGGACAGAAGCTCTGAGGCATCCTGGCCCTTTGGGGAATCTGCAGGTGTTGCGTGGTTGGCGCATGGTCAGAAGAGGATTAGGCGAGACACTCGGCCTGGCCTGGGCTCTTTGCTCAGCTCAAGCCCGGAGGGTTGTACTGACCCCTGTCAGTCCTCACACCAGCTTCCCAACAGTACCTCACGCACCTGCCCTGCTTACAAAGTCTTCCCATTCACCTCTGGGTCTGCATTCAGGGTGGGTTAGAGAGACCAGCAAGCCCATGAGTAGGGATGGGGGTTTCTAGGCCTTATCTTCCAGCCCCTCTTCTGGACTACAGTGAGATGTCACTCAATCTCTAGTGACACTGTGTCCTCAGCTATAAAATAGGTGAGTGCGTGAAGGTAGATGTACCTGTTTGGTGAGCAGGCAGCTGAGATGGGGAAGGGCTTCTTGGGAGGGGGTGTTATATCCAGGTACCTTCCAGGAGGAGGCTGGGCTGCCTGGGGGGCAGCATGGAGGTGCCTGGAGACACGCAGAGGCAGAAGAGGGCTTGTCTCTGAAGGGGAGGGGGATGCTGGCAGACAAATGCAGGTGGCCACGGCTCCCTCTTCACTCCTGTTCTGAGAGTCCATAAGTTGAGTGAGTCCCTCTGGCTAGCTCCTGTTTGAACTCACCTCTGTGGTTTCCTTCCTGGCTCTCCAGGGAGAACCCGCGTGGTCATTATGATGCTCTTACCTTCCGATTCTCTGAGAATATTTGCCTCAGTGAAGCAGAATCTCATACTCCAGAGACCCAACGTTTCCAGCAGATTTCTGATCGCCTGATCTCTGCTCTGAGGCAAGAAAACCTTTGGGTTCCATCATTTTCCAAATGTCCACAGCCACCCTCCAGCTTTCCTGAATGAAAATGAAAGTCACAGGTGGTGGCTCTGGTCCTTGTGTCTTGGCTGGGTGAAGCCTTCATCCCCGATTCAGAGGGGCCCCGGGGCAGCCACTCTGTGTCCCAGAATTTCCAAGAAGTCTTGATTTCAAACAGTCTGCCATGTTGGGAGGCCACGTGTCAGGCCAGGGCCAGATGAATGTGTCCTGATTTTTGTTTCAGAACATATGGTCAGCATAACTGGGGAGAGAGAAATTGGAAAGAACAGTAATTGGAGCCTGGTCTTGGGCATGAGGTGGAAACCACAGAGAGTCTCTGTTTCAGTTTGCTTAAGCAACAGTAGCTATCACAGCCTATCAGGGTGGAGGGGCTGTCAACATCAAGGTCGTCTGGTTCAGCCTCAGTCTTTCCATAAACATGTCCTGGTGGCTTTGAGCGGTGGCTCCAAGTCAGGCAGAGGCGGGGTTGCATCCTGGCTGTGCTACTTCCTAACTGTGACCTTGGGCAGGATGCTTAACTTCCAGCTCCACAGTGTGTAAACCTGAAAGAATAATGACACCTATGCTGCAGGGTTGGTTTTAGGGCTAAACAAACAAATGAATGGAAATGGGTTAGCCCAGCACCTGATTCTATAGCGGTTACCATCCTCTTCCTCCTTGCCGCCGTGTGCCCGGCGCTGTGATGAAGGTGGAGGCACCAGGGTGAACAGGACGTGCGGTAAACACTGCTCAGCGCCTGCTCTTTATCCAATCTTTCTCCCTTTCTCTCTTCTCTCCTTCCCTGCCCTCTGCCTTCCTCCCTCCCTCCCCTCTCCCTTCCTCCCATGATGGACCCTGGTTTATTCAGGGTGGAAAGTGTCCCTCTAAAAACCACTATGTTTCAATTTTTTTATTGGTTGCTAGAGGTGGTCATGTGAGATGTAGGTGGGAGTCACTGGGTGGGATCTAGCAAGATTCTTTAAAAGGAGATGATGCTAGAGGTGGAGTAGCCACCTGTGACAATGATGGGACAAGCATGATGACAAAAGCCACATGCTAAAGCAGAGCAGGAAGAGAGAGAAGGAATTGGGCCCTTAACAGCAGAGTTGGCCAAGTAGGACCCATAGGTCAAACCTGACCTGCCATCTGTTTTTGTCAATAAAGCTTTATTGAAACACTGCCATGCCCATTCCTTTATGTATTATCTGTGGCTGCTTTCACATTACAGTGGCAGAATGGAGTAGTGGTGACAGAGTCTGTGTGGCCAGCAAAGCCTAAACTATTGATGGTCTGACTTTTTCAGAAAAAGTTTGCCGACCCCTGTTTAATGGCCAACGGGATTAAACTTGTGCCAACTCTGGATTGCTTATCCCTGAGTGTCTTACCGATGGCAATATAAATCCCTGCATGAATCATTTAATTTAGTGGGTATTTTGCTTTCTGACTCTCTGATGCAATAGGAGAAAGTGCACTGCCCTCCCTCAGGATTGCTTCCGGATCTGCCAAGATGCTGCAAGCTTCTGCTGGAAGACCCAGGAACAGGTGTTGTCTGTGAGGAGTCGTAGGTGGCAAGCGACAGAAACCCCCTCTAACTGATCAAAGCTGGAAGGATATTTTTTGGACAGGTAAGGAAAGGTTTGAGACCTGGTCTGAGTTAGGGCAGGTACTAGGCAGTTTGGGGCAGGAGTACCAGGAATCAGTCTCTCCCTGAGGCTGGAGGTAGAGTGAATGATGGAGCTCTTGGCTATGGCAGGGAAGCACCTCTGTTAATAGTCCCTTCACACAGTTCATTACCATGGGAGAGAAGTTCATTTCCAAAAAGGGAATCAGGATGCTACCGGAGTGCCAAACCAGTGAGGGGCCATATCAAAGGGAGGATAATCTAAAATAACCCTGTCATCATTGTGCAGAGCTAGCTGGTTCCCCTTCCCCCAATATCAGTTCTCCCCTCTTCTCCCATGGCCATAGAATTTCCAATTTTTCAGCAGGTTGCGTGGCCACCCAGAATAAGGATGAGTTTCCCAGTTTCCTTTGCAGCCAAGGGAGGGCATATGACTACGTTGTTGACATTGGAATGAGAGTAAAAGTGAGGTATGCAACTTCTGGGATGTGAACTTAAAGGGTGTGGTCTTCCCCCTTCCTGCTGCTGGGAATGTGGATGTGCTTCTCCGTCTTGGACCTTGTGGATGAGAGCATCAACCTTGGGGAAGCAGTGCATCAGGGAGCCTGGATCCATGACATCATGGAATCATCAAACCAGTCCTGGACCACTCACCTCCAGAAGGCATTTACCATAACAGAAAGACACTTCTCTTCTGTTTAAGCCATTGTTAGTTCTGGTCTCTGTAGTTACTGATCATTGACTTCCAGGAAGCAATGACTCAGACTGAGCTGAGTGCTGAGTTCTGGTAGCTTCCATCCGGTAGATCTCCCCTTGGGAATGTACATGACATTTCTAAGTTCTCTTCCAAAAGACAGTTCATCCACTATTTCCCGGCAATCCCATCCAATCCCCACATCACTGCTGTCTTTTCATCCCTAGTTTCTTCACTGTGTTATCTCTGGGACACGTCAGTCTCCGTTGGAAGTGCGTTGTTGGTCTTTATGCTCCATATGCCACATAACACATACACTCAGGCTAAGCAGGGTGGACCCAGGGAGACCGTCACCTACCCCACTTTAGATTCTCCATTTCACAGTTTCCCAACCAGCTTTTATAAATGGTCAGCGAATCAATATGCACCCTGAAAGCTATCATTTTAATCTTTTTCTTTAGCCCCCATAAAATATATAACATTGTACTAGTTTTCTACGGATGCTGTAACAAATTACTATAAACGTGGCTTAAAACAACAAAAATTTATGCTCTTACAGGTCTGGAGGTTTGAAGTCTGACACGGGTCTCACTGGGCTAAGATCAAGGTGACAGCAGGACTGTGTTCTGGAGGCTCCAGGGGAAAATCTATTCCTTGCCCCTTCCAGCTTTGGCCACATCCCTTGCCGCCGACATTCCTTGGCTTGTGGTCCATTCTTCCATCTTCAAGGTCAGCAACGTTGGGCCAAGTCTTTTCATGCTGCCATCTCTCTGGTTCTGACTCTTCTGCCTCTCTCGCTACCTGGAAGGACCCTTGTGATAACATAAGGAGCTAATCCAGGATAATCTTCCCGTTTTAAGGTCAGCTGATTAGCAACCTTGATTCTGTCTGCAACCTTCATTCTCTTTACCATGTAGCATAATATATTCACAGTTTCCAAGGACATCTTTTGCGGGGGCGGGGGTTCGTTATTTTGCCTACTCTACATATTGATGGTGGCGACTACGGCTACCACTTGGGGAAGCTTTCTGTGGGCCAGGTGCAGAGCTAAGCACTTTACATAAAGTGTCTTATTTAAACCCACAACGCTTTGGTAGGTAGAATTCTAAGATGGCCCCAGAGATCTGCCTCCTGGTGTGCGCATCCTGCTTAATTCCCTCTTCTTAGGTGTGGGCAGAACTGTGAACATGACAGGATGCCACTCCTGATTAGGTCACATAATAAGGCCAAGGGGATGGGATTGTTGATGCCATGATTAGGTTATATAAGACTTTATTTTAACAGGCAGGGAGAGAGACTCTCTTGCTGGCCTTGAAGCAGTGAGCTGCCGTGTTGTGAAGGGCCAGTGGGGGAGGCCACATGGCCAGGAGCTGAGGGCACCTTCCAGGATCCAAGAGAGGTCAGGCCCAAGAGCCAGCAAGAACACGGGGACCTTAAGCACACAGCTGCTAGGAGCTGGGTCTGCCAACACCTGAATGAGCTTGGAAGAACATTCTCCCTCAGAGCCTCCAGAGGAGAGCGCAGACTGGTCAACACCTTGATTCCAGTCTTGAGACTCCCTAGCAGAGGACTCCCTCTGGATTCTGACCTGCAGAAACTGTGAGATAAGGAGTGTTTGTTTAAGGCCACCGTTTGTGGTAATTCGTTATGCACCGATATAGAACGAACACATCTCAATTTGCGAGAACCAAAGCTCAGAGAATCTAAGAAACTTGCCAAGGTCAGAGTGCTAATAAGAGGCAGAGGAGGTATTCCAACTAAGGTCTGTCTCCAAATCTGAATGTTTAACTGCTCCTGCTTCCCAACTGACACACATGAATAATAGATTTGGTGTTGGTTTTTTTTTTTTTTTTAATTGTTAGTACTTCATTTGTGCCTGATGGAAACAATTTCTTTTCTGGCTTTTGGAAATGAAATGATGACTTTTCTCTTTTATCTCTGCAATGAGATAGCCCACCTGTTCTGTACCATTTGGGCATTTCTGAGCTTCTGCTGGGCTTCCCATTGTAAAGCGACGCTCTTGTTTTAAACACATGGCACCTAACTTTAAATTCTAAAACACGCTGGATGTGTGGCCAGATTAGGGTAGAAACTTTCATTCTTTCAACCAAACTTCAAATTGACAAAAGCTATAAAGCCGTGCCAGTGAGTTCACCAAATAAGTCCATGCAGTAAGCAAGCCAATGTCTTGATCTAGTCTTAGAGAATCATTGACATTGCACATAAGTACATGACAGATGTGGGTCCTTTGAAAGGAGCCAGACGCAAATCAGTTGGAAAATGTTACTGAATTTTAGTAGTTTTTCATCGGTAGGAATTTTCTCTACCACAGATGGAAAAAACATAACTACTCTCAACTTCTACACTAGAAAGAGGCCCTCCTACTTGAAAGTTGGGAGCCCCTACTTCTTGGGGGGTCATGGAAGCCCACCGCTGCCTCAACAGCCAGTAGCTGATCAGAAAAATACAGATGTTCTCTTATCTTGGGTTCTTTGCTCTGTGGCCTGTGCCTTTCCTCTTTGCAGGATGCTCCCATCAGCCCTTCTCATACCGATAGCATTTCACAGTTTTATAGAACGAGGTTTGAATGAAATCATTGGTCCTCTCGAATGATTTGTGGCTTACCCATTGGGGTGATTGGGAAGCCTGTGGAAGAACAAAGGTCCTCAGCTGATGGCTGGTAAGCCCTGTTAGGCACACAGTAAGTGCTCAATAACCCCCAGCCCAGGGGAGTGATAGCAGGTGGAAAACCCATCTGAAACACAATAGGCCTGGTCTTTCCCCTACAATGGGTGAAGGACTTGTTCCTTTGGGACTCGGGGACATCAGTGATACTTAAGGGACCCACCCCAGCTGACTCCCTTTAACTTTTAGTTCCTCTGTTTAGAAATGCCACATCTGTGGCTTCAAATATATCAAGAGAACCTGAAAGATAGGCAATCTGGCCAGGTTTCAAACCCACTGAAAACTCTGGCTCTAAATTTAGATGCGATCTGGAAACTTGAGTTTCAAGTTCCCCTTGCATTGGGCAAAGCCTGAATTTCAAGCTATTGCACATTTTAATTTATCTGTTCTCATCTTCTTGATGTCCCTAAACTTCTTGCTCCCTTTTCCAAACTCGTCACCTTGGTTATTGCATCTTCCATTTGGCTGTTGTTGTGACTCCTCTCGAATTATTTCCTGTTGTCATGACTCAGACCTTGTGCTGTGTGTCACCCTTCAGTCTTGTCTCCTTGGCTGGGCTGCATACCCCTGTGGGCAGGGGCTGTCCTCAGGCCTCGTTCCTTCCCCCTCGGTGAAACATGCCCAGGGTCCAGCACATTGTGGCCCCAGTCAAGGCTGGAGGGTTTTCCCATCGTAAAGCTAGACACCGGGACAAGGTGTGCTCCAACCAGATTTCCAGAACCTTGGTTAGTTAATTCATTGAAAGCGTACAAGTACATAAGCAATGCCAACCTCTGGAGAACAGTGTTTTGAATGAAGAAGTTTACACAATCTAACACAAGTTTGATGAAAACCAAGCTAAAATGCAATCCATTCAGAAAAGCTTTCCCTCAGTCCTGCCACGCTGGTGCTGGTTGACTTGTTTGTCTCCATTTTGTGGGGGGTAGAGGACTCAAAGGTTAGAATTTGGCATGTGGGGCAGGACTAGAGTTCAGAGCACACGGACCTTTTCACACCTTCACTCTGCTTTGGAAGAAAGAGAGGGTATGTGTTTCCTAGGGCTGCCGTCACAGAGTGGGGGTGGGTGGGCGGGGCTTCAACAACAGAAACCTATTGTCTTACAGTCCTGGAGGCTGGAGTTGGACACAGGTGTCCGCAGGGCCGGTACTTCTGAGGGCTGGGAGGGAACATCCGTCCCCTGCCTCTCCTCTCGCTTCTGGAGGTTTGTTGGTGATCTTTGGTATTTCTTGGCTTGCAGGGCACATTCACCTTCATGTGATGTCCTCCTTGCTTGTGTCCACATTTCCCCTTTTTATAAGGACACCAGTCATATTGGATTAAAGGGCCACCTTAGCCTACTATGAGCTCATCTTAACTGATCATGTCCATGGCAAGCCTATTTCCAAATAAAGTCACATTCTGAGGTATGGGGGTTAGGACTTCACACGTGAATTTTTTTGGTGGGGAGGGTACAGTTCAACCCATAACGTAGACTATTGTATTCTTGTTTGACTTTATTGTTCTCCAAATCAAGGTGTGTCAATTTGATTGAGTCTGTGCCACACCTATGAATTTGGATGATAAACATCTAGTAGAAGCTAAAGGTGCGTTCCTTTCTCTCCCCAGTCCCTCCATCCATCCACCCA